TCAGCAGTAGAGTAAACCAAACCCAGCGCAGAGGAGCGCAAGGTACTCGCGGATGACCCCCACGTGGTGCCGCATAATTTATGGAGGATATTATTCCGAGTGTTGAGGTTAGCTGCAGTTTGTGTGAGGTGCTTCTTAAAGGACAAGGTCCTATCTAGTGTAATGCCTGAATATTTTGGGGTGTTGTTGTGGGACAGCCAGTTACCTTCAAACCTTACTTTAAGTTCTTGGTTTGCTAATTTATTATTAAGATGGAAACAACTAACTTCCGTCTTTACCGCGCTCGGTTGCAACCTCCACTGGCGGAAGTAGTTTCCCAGGGAATACAGGTCTTCCGCAAGAACAGCCTCTGTCTCCTCGAGGTTTTTATGTCTTGTAGCTATCGCCCAATCGTCCACATACCCAAATTTTCTAGCTGAAGTAGCAGGCATATCAGCGATATATAAATTAAACAGCAATGGAGCTAAGACAGAACCTTGTGGCAATCCGTTATTAAGTTTCATCTTTTTGCTTTCTTTCTCTCCCAGTTTTACCTGAAAAAGTCTATTTCGGAACATATCGTCGACCAGGCTGACGGTCCTTCGGCAGGGGACTTCTTTAGCTAGCTTACAGATCAGTCCCTGTCTCCAAACTGTATCGTACGCCGCGGTCAAGTCAATAAAAGCAACTGATGTTTTTTCTTGGCGTTGAAATCCTGCTTCGATGTAAGTTGTTAGGGACAAAACCTGATCCACGCAGCTACGTCCAGGACGAAAGCCAGCCTGTTCAATCGGTATACTCTCTATTATCTTTGGGCTTACTCTGTTGTAGATTAGTCTCTCCAGAAGCTTGTAGATTGTGCTCAGCAGTGCGATTGGGCGATAACTTTGTGGCTTGTCGTTAGGCTTACCAGGCTTTAAGATGGCAATGATTTTAGCACTTTTTAGTGACTGTGGAATAGTGCCTGTTTTAATTATGGTGTGGTGGCTGTTGAAATCTCCTATATATACAGCTGGGTGAAAGAAAGGCTGGATGACATGCTGTGGCCATGAGGCAGCGGGAGGTTTATAAATAATGCACACTGTGATCTCGCCAACTTGAACGGTAATTTCATGGATATTGTTACTTGTACCGTATGATCGAAAAAAAAACGGCGTCAGCGATGGCTATGAAATGAACATCGCTGTCATTTTATATGTAAAATTATTGGGGAAATGTCATTGATCGTCATTTTCAAGCCAACTGGACGCCGTTTTTTTTCGATCATACGGTAGAAGCACGCTTCAGAGTTGCATTTTCAATTGTGTTCCGAATGTAAGAGGCAGTACCATAAGATCTATTATAAGTGGCTCCTATAAGCTCATACCCAGAAATCCTTGCTCTTGACCGGAGTTGATCCTCAGTTTCCGTATGAGTTTCCTGGATTGCCAGTACGTCGACATCGTAGTCAATTAAAATCTTGTGAAGGAGATCGCATTTTGCTCGACTAATACCCTCCACATTCAACTGGCAGACTCGGATGCTAGGTCCAAGTTTTTTGTCATATAGTCCTCATAAGGACTAGGCATTTTTCCCTGTGTTTGTACCATAGTGATGCAATTGACCAAGAGATCCAGATAGGATTGTTTGGTCGCCAGTTGTGCTAGTTCATTTAGTTTGCGTCTATAATTAGACGCTATCCAGGGTGTACCACGAGGAGGCGAACTAGCATTACACCCCTCCCTCTTGGTTTTATTTATATACACAATTACAAATTGCGTCTATTTAAAAAAACAATTATATCAACACTGTAAACGTTAAAAATTTTAATAATACAATATATTATGCGATAGATTCGCGAAGATTTGTTCCACACAACAAAATGTTTATACATATTTTATAAAATACTGTTACGGATTCCGTGGGTCCACTAATTTAAACTCACGATAAAATACTTAACGAATTTATTTTTTTTCCCACTCTGTACCATAGATTTAGTAAGAACAGATATCACATTAGACATTTTAACCCGATCAAACAATCGGAGGTTGACTACGTACTGTAAAAACCAACTGAAATAGAGAAGGCGACATTGCCCCATCTCAAATTTGCGCCTATCTACTCAGTTTGATTTGCAGAAAAGGTGACTTTAAAACCTTTACCGGATATCAATAAATCTCAAGTTCTTAATTAAATTAATAGTTTATTTTTAAAGAAGCATGCGTAATAATATGTTATTAACCAGAGGATATATGCGTTACTATTAAAGGACATGTTTACTGTTTAATGTGCTGAAACGTCTAGAACTATTGGCAACGTCGCTGCTAGTCTTCCAGAATGAAATGAGACGTCCGTCCCACCACCCCTCGCGACGGCCGTTGGTCCGTTATAGCGTACTACGTTTAGCTTGCGGTGTGTTTGAAGTCGGAATAAAGACGAAAATGAACTTTCAGTGTTTTTCGGTGGTTTTAGTTTAACGTACTTTTGAATCTGCGAATTCAGTATGGTACGACAGTGTAAAGTGTGTAGAAAAATAAGCTCAAATTACCCGAATTTGTCTTTTCACAGGTGGGTATTGCTTTCGTCATTGTACATAGGCGTCCCACAAGGGAGCCTCTCACAATCAAAATAATTTCTAATTATATTTGTAATTAATCTATTAAAACAAGAAGCCAGTAGTAGCCAGTAATTGAATTATAATTCGTCTCAATGACTACCTAACTGTTGTAGATCATAACAAATTTGAATATAAACGTTGCATTTGAAATTTTATTATAAGCCAGAAAGTGACATTTTTTCTTAAAATTGCGTCATTTCTGGTCATTATATACGATATTCTAAAGGAATTTTGCTCAACAAATAAACAAAGGTGTTACCCGACTTTTTTACATTTTATTGCTTTATTATATCTGCCCCTTCGGCCTTGTTTAGACAATTTTTTACCACTGTACAAATACCTCTTCCTAGAGTTATTTGTACGGTGTGTTTACCTTTTTTTAGAATGGGACGAACTGTAAATAATTCTTAGGCTACTAGTTTTATACATACCTATATACAGAGTGACCCAAGCCTCCAAAAAAGCTTTTTACCTATTACTACTAGCTGCTCTCGCCATCTAGCACTCGCCATAGTAGTACGTTTTGTACTCAAATGCTATTTTCTGCTTTTATGCTTTTCGTTTGTCGGATTGAGGGTACAGCAAAGTCGGCCTGACGATGGAGATAAATCTCCGAAACCGGTCGTCGAATGGCTGTTCCCTTCAGTCTGATGAACTTAATGCAGAGAATAAGCATATATGTAGGGGTTAGGCCTTAATAATTTTTTGCTTCTTGTATTTTGTTTATTTATACAAACCCTACAAAGCCTTGAGCTCCATCTACAGTAACGTAGATGAAGCAAACGTAATTCATTATGTGACAGAAATCCCATATTGTAACAGACAGGTTTGATACTTTTAATAAATCAATATTCAATTTTCTCATTAAATATTGATTTTAGGTATAGGAAGTTATTAATAATACAAGTTTAAACAACTATTACACAGTACTTCACAGGAAGCTATCGATTGCGAACTAACTAAATCGTTGCTAATTACTAATTTTGAAGTTCTTTTTAAGATCAAAAATGGTAAAACTAAAACCTAAACTATCATTTCAGATTAAACGGGAAGTTCTAAATAATGTTGCCTATTCTAAACAAGAAAAATTTATTTATAAGTTTTATAACATCTCTAATTAAATTTGGACGAAAAGAATATTTCTGTTTGCTGTAGGTAATTTTCTCAGGGATAATACGAAAATAAAAATGACTTAAAGTCAAAAGAACAAGTTATTCCAAAAAAGGACAGGTGGCAACCCTAGGTATTTCTGGAATGGAAATTTAATGGCAAATCTACAACTTTAGTTTGAAAATATGTTCCGGCCACCTATGTTTACAAAAATGTCTAAAATGTGCTTTACCATTGCCTCCATATTCTGAAAAAAAATTGAAAGAAAAGTCACCAACCACAAACCTAACATAGAACTGTTTCGGAAGCCTGAGTCACCCTGTGAATATTCAAAAGTAACTGAAAGTTTATATAGAAGTAACTGAAAGTTTAAATTCAAAATCGACGTTGGAGTGATTTTAGAAAACCACCTACTAACGTTTCAACATAGGTATATGTGGGATATTAATTATATTATTATATTAGACCTTATAACAAAACTCATCTGACGAAAAAGTGTTAATGTAGTATATTAATATAGAGTATAAATTTTACTAAACACAATTTATGCAACTACTATTACTCTAACGATTCTGGCACCTTCGCCAATTAATTCACAATTTAAAACGCGGTATTATCAAACTTCAGACTGGTCCAACTGCCAAGCGCGGGCCTTTATATACCCCCTGGCGAGTGTTTCTGGAACATTCTAAAGAATTCTGTAAAATTCTTTTACTTTCTGGCGAATTCGCCAGGTTCTTCAATGCACGTTGCGGTTACGTAGGCAACCAGCAATACACCTTGACAATACGTTTCATAAATTAATTATATTAAAGCTGTAGCATTTGGTTTGGTTTGGTTGCGACTCCAAGACTCAAGGGTTCCTCTGTTATTTAAAAACAATCATTTTGGATTTACATAAGAATATTAAGACACACCCGTTAATGAAGTGAGGTTGAACGATCGCTGAACAAAGGATACCGGCTTAATCATACCAAATCGGTGGTCTACATTTTAATAAGCGAAACAAAGATAAAGATACCTAAATTACGTTACAACCAGTTGATAGACATACACATAAAGAAATGCAGAGTTGCCGGTTCCTACCATAGACAAGTTCCTACGTTGCGGTAGACATAATTAAAGATGAATGTTAATTTTTCGAATTGATGAATACATCATATCTTAAATTTGGGACATGCTATAAAATATGTCCCTACAGAAAGAAAAGCGCTTTTTAAATAGCATATTTAAAAAAATACATATCTGTCATTTACTGAATTTATTCGAAGTTACTTATCCTGTATATATTTAACAAATATATTATTTCGCTTACCGTTATTGGTTCAGTTAACGGACAGATTGTTGGCAATACTATAACCACTCTGACTAATTTGGTGCGGTCTGCAAGAAATTTTACTTCAGAATAGATCGCCGGTGTTAAATCTGTGTATCGATCGCAAGGTAGGGAGTTACAATAAGAACAAAGTAAAGAAACGGCCGACACCATGTCTACTTTGGCAGAATTCGGACCATCGACGTAATACGGAGGTAATTGATCTTCGTTGTACATCTCATCTATCGCTCTTTGAGACGGTTCACTTCTTTGTTTATTCTGACCGACCAGGAACTAAAAGCAATAAAAATATTTTAAATAAATTTAATAATTTTGCCCTTTCCAATGACAGAAGATATATGAGGGCGTGCTTTGACTTTGTAAAAACTTAATTTTTCATAATATTCACTTATTTTTCATCGATCAACACGCTTGATCGTTAAACTTTTTGATCACATTATATTGTTTATTTTCCTTCGTGTCGAGAAAAGGATGATTCAACTAGATGCCTAAAATTTGGATTACTTAAAAATGTAATACAAAATCAACTTATACAAATAAATATAAAAATATCCATAAGACAGGATTTTATACCAATTTGGTCATCGAAACTATGCGGTCTGCATTTTAACGTGTAAGACAGTGATGTAGACAGCTTAATGGAAAATCAAATGTATTAAAAAGAGATAAAAATTTGGTTGACACATTTCTTGTATGCGGTATTGCTAGATTTTCCATCAAATTTTCAAACCGCACAAGTAGGCGTTTACGAAAAATGTTGCATTAACTTGGAACATTATTTTTCACTATTAGTAAAGTCACATTTTCCTCCAAACGTAAAAAATCACGCATTAAAATCCAGACCACATAAATTGGATGACCAGCAGGGTATACCATCCGGGACAGTTCACCTGCGTGGTCTGTATTTTACTGCATGCGACAGAGATAAACATAAATGACTGGTTGGCAGACAGTGTAGGAAAATGTGGTAGAAAAAAATAAACTATTTTAAAAACTTTCATGTATACTACTCAAATGAAGATAATTTATCTAAGCTAAATATAATCTATTACAGCTGTAATAAAATGAGTAACTAATTGTGAAAAATATGGTTCCAGCCCTAGATGCAACAATTTTCGTAAACGTCTACTTGTGCGGTATGAAATTTTGATACAAAATCCGGCAATACCGCAAAGAAGAACTTTTATCTCATTTCAATACATTTGATTTGTTATTAAGCTGTCTACATCACTGTCTTACGCGTTAAAATCCAGACCACACAGTTTCGATGACCAGATCGGTATGTGTCACTGCATATTAAGGCTGTCGCTCACTAGACGGAAGCGCGCCGGAGCGCAAGGCAGCGCGGCGAAAAGGAATTTTTATAATACATAATTTTAAATGGGAGCTCGCTCACTTGGCGGAAACGCAGCGGTCGGCAGCGAAACGATTTAAAACTATGTATTATTAAAAATTCCTTTTCGCCGCGTTACCATGCGCTCCTCTCTAGTGAGCGACAGCCTTTATGCATACACAGTGTTTCTTACTAAATGCCAGTATTTTAGGGTGTGGTAGATCTGAACAAAAGAAACATTTCCTATTTGTCAATTTTCAAATAAAATAAAAATAGCCAAGTTATTTAACTATTTTTTTTTCTAAATGCTTATATCCTGAGAACCGCTATGTATACAAGAAAAGAAAATAAGTATGCACTTAAGACAACTTGCAAAACTCACCCAATACTTTTTTAAATTAAAATATTAAGAAGGAAATAATTAAGAATTTACTAAAACTACTAAAATAAAAAATTAAAAGCAACGAAAAAAAATGGGTAAACATTTTAGTATTTTATCTATAAAACGCAATACAGAAGGTTTCATATTAATACATTGACAGTAATTGAATTCCGAGATAAAAGTCTCTGGGCACTCCACTAGATATTAAAATAACATAACATTTATTTAGTTCAATGTTACGGAAAGGGTATTAATATTTATTGCAAAATATGATACTTCAACAACAGCAAAAAATATGACGGTAATCAAAATTAATAATAACCATCTATCAAAGAATGAAATCCAAATGATATTACCATACAAACGATTTTTAGGACGTTACTTAAGAACATTTTTTTGAAGAGGTTAGTTTCAGAACGTACGTAATTTTTTTTAAACAATATGAACTGATCTCATACACACCCTAAAACACATATTTGATAAATAATGATGTAACGTTTAACGATGCTTTAACGAGGGCTGAATTGAAGGCATTCGTTAATGACATAATACTTGGAAAATTTACTTATTACTTGGAATATTTATTTATTACCCAGGCTTTTTTAAGAGATAACAGCACAGCTTACTCATAGACAGCTAGTCAACTCACGACGATTTACGTGGAAAATTTCGTACCTACTTCGAGACTGGCTTATCTTACGCAAGTGCCATATCGATACGAGAAACACATAATTTGCATGTGTTTGGAATAATATTCATATGGAAGGAATATTTATTTGGATCTTTGAATAAGAAGACTAAGGAAGGAGCATAATGCTATCCATGTATTCATGCATGGTGGGCGGAAAAAGCGCCATAAAAGCACTCTAGGGTGGGAATCCTTGACAGTTCTGTTTGACGATTCATTTGACACATTTGAATTTGATTTGAAATTTTGTGGATTTGTCAGTCTTTACGGAGCTTATTTTATGTTATTTATTATTTATTCTACTACTGATAGTTGTATAAAGGTAGTAAATCTAGATGGAAATTGTGGCAGAACTTAAATTAACAGTGACACTACCGCGATTTATCGAAAAAGATTCTAAAATAGTTGGTTGTGTAGCGTGCGGTAGATCTCGGCAAAAATTGAGTGAAATAATGGAACAACTTTTCACTAGTAAGTGACTATATAATATACATACGTGTAGTAAACCGATCATTTATGAAATTCACTTAAATTAACTAAATTATATATTTTTCTTGCATTTTAGCTTTTATTTATTACTTGTCAAAGATTAGATGTCAAAGAATTTAGATACGTTAATTTGACTTACCTGCTTCAGTAGCGTATCGGATGTTTGTGTTAATAAATACTTATCTATTTTTATTAGAATTATATATTTTTATAACAATTTTAATAACTACCAACATTTATTCACAACGTAAAATAAAACAACAAATTATTGAGTCTACCCCACGTCTACCCTGCATCATAGTTTTACATTTTTTAAATAAAATTAGAACGACACTGATAAACCGGAATTTAAGTCGGCCATATTTGAGGCCCATCGCGGTGTACCTAAGATTTTTGATATGCTCCTTCCTTAGTCTTCTTATTCAAAGATTTGGATGGAAGTCATAGCTTCTTCTTCTTCTTTTAGAAGGCGTATCGCCTGTTTAGTTCCGGTTTCCTCCTCGTCTAAACAACTCTTGCGAGGTTGACTGCCAACTGTCTTGCCAACGTTTAGGTGGTCGTCCAGTAGGTCTTCTGCCATGGGGCACGTTGTTGCGAATTATTATGGCCATTCTGTCGGGGCCCATTCTATTGACATGCTGGTTCCATTCTCTTCTTCTCTGCCTTATCCATCTGACAACGTCGTTTGTTTGGCACTTTTCTCTTATGTCTACATTTCTCTGTCTGTCCCTCAATGTGTATCCAGTTATCATTCTTAAGGTCTTCATTTCAGTAGTTCGTAGGATTCTCTTTGTTACTAATGTTTCAGCTCTGGTTTCCGCACCATATGTCATCACTGGTCGTATGCAGGTTTTGTATATTCTTGACTTACATTCTGTACTCAAATGTTTGTTTTTCCATATGGGATATTTAAGATGTCCTGATATTGCGGCAGCTTTATAGGCTTGTTTCCTTACTTCTTCTTTCAGGAATCCTGAGCTTGTAATTTTGCATCCGAGGTATTCGAATGACATTATCTGATCAATAGTTTTGTTTTTTATTACCAATTTGCACCGTAGAGGCTCCTTTGTAATGGTCATGCATTTGGTCTTATTTGTGGAAATTTGCATGTTAAGTTTTTCTGCCTGTCTGTTAAAAGCTTGTAGCATTCTTTGGAGGTCGTCCTCTGACTCTGCAATAAGTACTGCGTCATCGGCATAGCATAATATGTTTACTTTATGCATTCCCATTCGATATCCTAATCCAGTATTCTTGACGGTTTTTATTCCTTGATCCATGATTGTGTTGAATAACAGAGGGCTGAGACCAGTTGTAGTTCGAAAATGCTGCGTTAAGGTAAAGTTTGTTCTTATTTGGGTTGTTGTGTTTGTGTTTAAGTTCTCGATAAGTTCTGTGAGTTCTTTCGAGACATTACTGCTTTCCAAGATGGTGATGATGTCTTTTAGTTGGACTCTATCAAAGGCCTTTGTTAAATCTATAAAACATAGATAGGCTAGAGAGTTATATTCTAAGGATTTTTCAACTAGTTGCCTGAGTATGAATAGTGCATCGGTAGTTGATCGGTTTCTTCGGAATCCTTGTTGTGCCTCGCTTATTGGCACTATTGAGGATATTTTGTCCGCAATGATCTTAGTCAGAAGTTTTAGCGAGGTGCTCAGTAATGTTATTCCTCTATAGTTTGCTGGGTCTGTTTTATCTTCCTTTTTAAAAATAGGTATTGTTATACTTTGTTTCCATTCTTCTGGTATTTTCTTATGTTGTAACATAATGTTAAACAGTTTTGTGTATTCCTCTATGATAGCCGTGCCTGCGTTTTTTATTAGCTCGTTTGGTATTTTATCTTGATTAGGAGATTTTCTATTTTTAAGTTTCCTTATTGTCTCTTCTACTTGCTTGTAAGTGATTTGCGCATGATCTTCTATATTATCTCTTTGGCTTGTCTCTTGTGCTTACATTGGTTCATCTGTTTCTGCGTATAAGTCTCTGAAATATTTTTCCCACGTATCTTCTGCAATTGTTCTTAGTTGTATTGTTTCATTTGTTTCTCGTTTCAAACCCCTCAACATCTTCCAAATACGTTTTTGTGCTCCGTACATATCCGCCTCCATTTCGCTACTAAATCGCTGCCAATATTCTTCTTTAATTTCTCGTACTCTATTATTAGTCCTGTTCCTTATTTCGGTATAGATATTTCGGTTCTCCGGTGTTGGAGATTTCTTGTATTGTAAGTATTTTTCCTTCTTTTCCCTTGTAATGTTCTTGACTTCTAATGTAAACCAAGGTTTAATGTTCGGTCTTCTATTGTGTAATACAGTACTTGTTCCTAAAGCTTTTTTAGCACCTTTGCAGATGTTTTCTTTCAGTTTATTCCAAGCTGTGTT